ATTCCATGTTGGGTCACCAAAACACTTTTTTTTGAGCTATCATAAATGGTGAATTTTTTTTGTTTATATTTGCCATGCAACTTTTACTAGAAATTATTCTCATTTGCCCACTCGTATTTTCATTTTTTTTTTTGCTTTTTTTCCTCTCCCAACAAAACTCTTTTTAATTTTTCTTGCAGCAGACGACGTTTTTTCATGGTAAAATAAGTTTCATTGTATTTACACAGCATAACAGAAACTGCTTCAAATCAAAACAGCTGACATGGTGAAAATAAGACAGCAGAAAAGATTAGCGTCTTCAGAATTACTGAATTTTATAGATTCTTCTTTACTGTTGTTGTTATAAAGTTAGCACTAGAAAAAGACGGGTTTTTAATTCAGCTTACACTTGTTTTATAAATTTACTAGAAAATTAGTCTTAGAGTAAAAATTTGTTTACATAAAGGCGCTTGGGGTACTCGGAAGCACTCTAAGCTAACTTCGACGTAAATTATTTAGTAAAACATGATTTGCTGTCTATTTTTATTCATCAGCAGATATACTCTTAAAGGTTGTGAATTTATTTGAATTCTTTATATTAATAACCATAAAGGCTCGCCAAAATAAACCGGTTATATAATTTCGCTGGCATTGTCATCAGAATTATAATCGAGCAAAAACGTTTTGTAAAAGCCACCATTTTGTGTCTCGATATGAATAATAATGACACTAATACTAATAATAATAATAATAATATAGAGAAGACGAGCCATAGAATTACTGGTGGAGATTGACAGCAACTTGAAAAGACTAATAATCAAAATCACTGCTACTTTTAATTACCAAATTTTCTTTAACTAATGTCGCCAGGTCAAACGGTACGAGTGATGCAAATAAGTATAAAATTTAGTCAGAAACTGGTAATAATTTTATAGCAGTTCTGAAGCAAATAGTATCCATCGATAGTCTATGCTTCATTTGCAATTGTAAACAAAAACAAGAATACTATTCGGATTTATATCCATTAAAATAACATGGAAATGATTTTTACGCAATTTTACCCAATTTTATTCCTTCTGCTTCTTGTAAAAAAAAAAATGCAATTATCATTTGTTGATTTAAAGTTTGTCACTTCCAGCAGCTACTTTCCAATGTTTACTCTTCGTCACCTGCAAACTGGTCACATAGTTGCTTGCTTCCACAGTTTTTTTATGCCAACAGTAATTTGAAGAAAGCTTTATTCTTTTTTCTCAAATTGTATTTTTGATTAAAACTAAGATTTGAGTAAAAGTACAGTCCGTAGGACAAACAGATCAATAAACGAACAGAGGCTGTTTTTTAGAGCAAAAAGCTGGTTAAGTGCATAATCGACGGCCCTCATCCTTGATGTTTAAAAAGCCCCCTTACAATCTTTTTTGTTTTTGTTTTTTTCCGGAGGTAACTGTTATCACCGATATTGACGTTGTCTGCTAAGTTTAAGGTTTTAAACTTCTTGAATAATAATATAATTAGACTTCAAGAAATCCGGTTTTAAATATGTTCCTTTTTGGTGATTGCCTGTAATAATATCAGATGCTTTAACTGTTGCTCTGTGGATACTAGTTTGTTCGCTTTCGTACACCTTGTATTTGACCTAACAAGCGTAACTTTCAGGATGGTAAAACATGTAAAGTCGAAAAAGATGGACAGTATGCCCTTGCATGGCAACCATAATTTTGGTCCACATAACTTGGCAGTATTTGCATCTGAAATTGCTGTGTGCAGGGTTCATAATATGCAAATATTTTTCAGTGTATAGCAATAACAAAAGTGGTTTACATAGTTAAGAAGTGTTATTGCACGGTTTTGGTCAATGAGTGTTTGAAAAGTTTCAGAACAAAGCTGCTTACTCAATTTTTTTCTTCAGGTTTAAAGATCAAGCCATTTACTTCTTAGCTTTAAATTTTGCGAAGAACATATTTAGATAATAATAGAGAAATGTTACTGTTCTGTAGCAGAATGAATTTCGGCAATATTTTGAGCATGAATCATGCTTCATTGAGAAATGCAGATTTGACATTTAGGTGATTGGGCATCTCAACTAAGTTCAGAAAAGAAACCGAGGGAAATGTTTAGTGTTTTAGAAAGAAAAGATTTTTGAAATTCGATAATTGAACCGCCTTCTAGAAGTGTAGGGCATGTATGTACTTTCTGTTGAATAATGCTGCATAATCCTTGTTATGCCTAGTGTAAAAGATCGTTGTCTTATAGTCGTTTATAAATGCTAACTTATGAATAAAATTTTTCAAAAAGGAAGAAAAAGAATTTGTTGCTAGTAAAATCAACGTCATAAAAACTAATTTTCATGATTTATGATACCAACAAAATTTGAATAAACTTAAGTAACTGTACTAGAAATACACGAAATAATATTGTTACCGTCTGTTATATTCTCTTTAGAAAAACTATTGTTGTACTGCAAATGCAACCCAATTCCAAAAACATTTTTTACACTGCAAAACTTTTCTCTTGCATCTTCTACGTGACTTTTTTCCCGAAAAATACTGTTTTATTTGGCTAAACGGCTATCAGCATGTTAATAGATAAGCTCTTCTAAGCTAAGCACCAGAAAGTTTTTAATAAGAATTACTAAAAAAGTAAAAAAGCTTTTGCCTCAACAAATTTTAAATGTTTGCGTTTCCTTGGCAATATAGCGCTAAAGACACAAATGCAGATTCTGTGGTATTTCAGAATATGCTACTTGAAAAGCACTTTAAAAACGTCCACTATGCTTCAGAATCATTTCAGCCCATCTGTATTCAAAGTTTCTATGCATTTGGTTTCAACGTTATACACTTTCAAATTTTCCGCATGTGGTAGAAGTTGATGCACCAACAGCCAAAAATTAGAAAGACAGCAAGAGCTACAATGCCCTGTCTAAATCATCTAAAAATAACAAGCCTCATAGGTTTCACTCTTGAAGTGTATCTTAGAAATAATGTCGGACACAATATTTCTGTTTTACTACCTATGAAAGAAAATGACGGCCAAGCTCCACTCTAAACTACAACGGCGAATGCTAGCAATTTAAAGATTAAAAAATCTTAAAAAAAAGTTTTGTAAAACAACCTTATTGTTTTGGCGTTCAGCAGGAAGTACTCCGTTGAATTACTTTTTAGCACCTGATGAAATTGTTTGTCAAAAACATATTTTTCGTAATATTCAAATTCTGTCTTCTACAGATTTTGAAAAATAATGTTCTAGTCTTTCACGTGATCTAAAATTTACGTGACTGGAACTGACTACCCGTTTCCAAAAAAAAAAAAAAAAAAAATGTATCAATTACTTTCTTCTCCATAGGGCACAGGTGACGCGGTAGTGTAGCTTTCGTTCTGGCGATTCGAATTCGTTCTACGCTTCTCGTACTGAGAAAGTATCCAGCGCTTATTCATACTACTGTGTAATTAAATAATGGTAATTGTGATATATTCTGGTTTTGGCAAGTGAAATAAACACAGCACTTCACAAGTACGAAAATTGCCTAGTATACGGCAAAATCATCGACCTTAATAACCTCGCCTTCTTGTTTCCTAGAAAAGAAAATGCACTTTTATGTGATCATTAATTTTCCTACACATGTTTTCATCTAGGAGACTACTGCTCACGGTAATCTTTTTCTTCATAGACAGTAAGGTTTGCGAAAAAATTGACGAAACAATATATGAGTAAAACTTTATTGCCAATATTACTTTATAAACTTTATTTTTCTTAATGAACTGTAGAACAAATGAAGACCGACATTGTCAAAGGAGTTAACATTGTTAGCTGTAATTTGCTGAAGAAAAAACAGAAAAAAAAACCACATCTAGATGCCACCTATAAATAGTAAAAAAAGCACAACAAATTATATAAACCCCCGCACGTAAAGCGAATCTTCTCCAAAATGGCAACAGAAAAAGCAAATCTCGTAGATGGCGACCAAATACAATTCTTCAAATAAGACTGTCCGCCGTTAATGTTACTCTTTTTACGCACCATCCCAAGCCCGTGCATCATTCTTCCAGTGCATGTTCTTTAAAGTTTGACACTTGATAGTGCCTAACCCTTGAATGATGAATTGAAGAAATTTGTTTGAAAAAGTGCATTAGCCGTCAGGTCAGATCTCACTATGGTGCGGATGAGTGATGGTTTTTTGTTAGGCTGAGTTATATTGATGGAGCTGTAATTCTGCAAATTTTGAACTTGTCCGACTTTACAATCCCTTCCACTTCAACTGCGCATGAGCAGCCTGTACTGAAAACACAGGAACTTTTTCTTCGCAACATTCCTTGCAGACCCTAATGAAACATAAGATTTATCGCAAAAACTATATTAGCAAGGTTTGATGAAGAAAAGTGGTTTTTAAGAGAGACTATGTAACCAATGAGTCTACCAAAAGAAAAAAACAAATGGACAATTTCGCGATTGAGGTTAACAGTATAAATCTGCAACAAAAACGAATTCTTGAATAATTTAACATCAGAAATTTGCAATGTAAGCCTTTCTACAAAAACCTCTTTAAAGAAATTTTTTTTGTCAGGCGTGAGAGATCATGAGAGGATTTTCAAAAAAAAATTTTTAAGTTCTTTTAAAAGAATCTCTTACTCAAAGTATGAAATAAAATTGTTGTAAAACATCTACAATATCGTACCCACTATCTCGGTCGGCAAAACTTAAGTTTATATGCCGAGCACTTGTCCTCTTTAGTACCAAGCAGCATTTCTCAAGAGGTCGATGGCGCTGTGCTCTCAAGGGTATTGGAACTTTCAAGGAATTAAAAGACAAAACTAGGCAGCAGTAAACCACTAATTTTAGCTTAGTCTGAGTCTTTTGGTGCGCAGCCTTTTCTTTCGTTGACTACTGACACATGACTTTGAAAAATACAAACCTTTCCAAAAACTATTTCACTGATTTCCCTAATCTTCTGCCTTTTTTTTTTGAAATTTTTCTTCGTACTCATTTCTTTTACAGGCCATAGATAAAAAATTCTTTTTGCATAACCCTGACGAAAACCATAGACAATAAATGTTTCTCTTTGTATGAGACCTACGACAATCCTAGGGAAACTTTCTCCAATCTCCTAATTTCATTTCAGGTTCTTTCAGAATTGGTCGACCAAATATGTCGGTCCACTTCAGAAAACCCATTGTTTGATGGTACCTGCATCCTTAGAAGGCAGCATAGGTTTTCAATATGACTTGTGCGTCTGTTTTACTGGGATCTGTCAGCACTTAATAAGCATAATGAACCTTGCAGTTATGCATTCTGCCTACTTGTTTCTTAATAGAACAAAACTCTTTAAACAGCTTGTTAAAAAGACCGACAACCACTTTATCAAGGGAAACAAACTCCATTTTTTGTCGGTGACAATAAGGAAGCAAGTTTATACAGCAATGTAATTTTCAAGCTACTCGACGATAAACTTTAATCAGTCCCAAAACTTGTCAAAGCGAGAAAGGCGGGCGGTATACTTGGCCTATACCAGTGTCCAAATGAATCACACATTGGGAACGTAGGTGCTGTTCTGATTAACAGATGCTCATCCAAAAAATTATAGGATAACTGACCCTTTTGGTTTGCTAACAAGAGTCTTTGCTTGAATACGCTTTTGCTGTAGGGATAACTGGTCCTCACAAACTATAGTGTCGACCAAAAACTTTAAACTCTTCTCTCATACACTGATAGAATTTCAAACTTTCTGTGGCCTTCAGTACTTTTTTTGAAAACCACTACCTTCTGATGACAACACGCAAAAGTCAACGATGAACACCTTTTAATAGAACCTGGTCACGTCAAAGTGCTATGATCTTGTCTTAGTTGTATCTGTGGAGGGAATACCGCAATGTGCTATACAGCTATTCAATAAATCCGTTATCTTCCGTATTGCTCTCAACAGTCGCAACAACACACACTTTCAACACAACTTCACTCTGTGCGCATACAAATACATTTGAAAGAACGGTCAATAATCGTTTCTTTACTAATCAGCTGCTTAGCAAAAAAAACCCACAAAGACTAAACAAAACTTAAAACAATTAAAACAGAATAATAAACTTAAAACCAGCAAAGAAATAATAGAAAAAAAACAAAATAAAATCCAATCTAATTCTTACGTATCAAACTTCAAACTACTCTGCACGACTCATGAGTGGAAGTGGTAGAATCCAAAAGGAAACTTTAAGACAACGGGAAGGGAACGTAAAAACAACTTGATCTTGATACTTCAGTTGGCTAAATTCAGAGACCAGACAACTTTCCTTTATAACTTCTGACCTCAGTCAGCTCAACTGTAGTAATTCCTGCAACCCCTCCGAGAACTCTCTCTTGGGGAGCTGCAGCAACTTCACATTCACCCACAGGTACCTAATGCCTGCGGTCCAGTAGTGACTTGAGCACCTCATGATCCAAAACCTTCTTCATTGTAGAAGCCCCAAAACCAAAACTGAAGTCATCCGATATCACTGGAAAAACACCCCATTACCTTTAGGTTTCAAACAGATGAGTGAGTGCACAGTCTTCAGTATGTTGGGATCAACATTTAATCATATTGCCCAAAAAAAACCAAGTTCCGGCCGTATATTGCAAGCAGTAAAATGCTTCTCCCAAAATTTTTAAAAAACCGCGTTAATGCAGCATCCACTAGTGACTTGAGCTTCTCATGACCCAAAAGCGACTTCTATAACGTTTCCGGAACATCTCATGTACCGGAGACGACTTCTGTAACGTGTCTGATTGAAGATCTGCAAAATCAATGTATTTAAAGAATTAAAAATGATGTACCATTTGTCAAAAAGCTCTGATTTTAGAAAATGTTTCTACTGTAACTACACTTGAGTGATTTGTATTAAAAATGTGAGAACTTCTCTTTTGCAACATTTACAGGAACCCTCGATGATGCAACAGGTTATAAAACAAACAGAATTGTATTAAGGAGGCTAGATAAACGAAGTAGATTTGAAACAGGCAGAAGTAACTCAATGTTTTCACTAAAAAAACAAAGAGACAATTTTTTATGCAGGAATCAATTTTCCTTCCACCTCCTGAAAAGTTCGCATCAGTTCTACCATTGCAGACCAACAAGCAGCTAAAAAGCAGTACTAGCGCAGAAAGACGCCGACTGCGCCGCAAAAGGCATTTTTAATAAATCTACCACTTTCCATCCTTATTGCTTCAACTTATACTCAATCAAGCTCCGCATTTTTTCCTAGAGGGCAAGGATTAGGGACAATTCAAAGGCCGACAACACAGACTACCGCTGAATTTTCCAAACTTCTACTGAAATGCGAAGAAAATTTCCCTAGTTAACTACTCCAGAAATGCCCTCTGCAGTATTAAAATATCTTTCAGGACTTCGAGAACCATCGCCAAATACAGATACAAAAGCTACACTGCACTAATCAGAGGAACTTCCCTAGTTTTGACACCTGTATCTCAGCAGTGCATTTTCTAGCAAAATTACTCAACCACAGCACCTCCAACGGCGCTTGAAAGTGTTAATGCAATAATAAGTAGCTAATGAATGTCATCTGTAAGAAATATACTTAAACTCAAACACCAAATTTTCCACTACTTTTTTCAACATAAAACCGATTCTGCAGTCATTTTTAAAAACAAAAAACCGCAGATGACCTCAACGTTTCCCATGTCCTTTCTAATTGCTGCCATTGCATGCTATTTAAATTTTTGTCATAGACGTTCAAAAACTCTAAAGTACGCTTGTTGAGGAAGACCGTTTGCGAAGATGGGACCGAGAAACTGTCACAAGGAAAAACCGAACAGATGCGCCTCCCAAAAAACGAACGACAATAACACTTTCATTTTACTTTATCGGAGTTTACAGAACAGTTTTAGAACAAAAAGGATGAGAAATTTCTGAACAGCTATTCCCCCTGAATCAAAACTTTCACTACTCCCTTTACAATACAACAAGAATTGGAGCGGAAGTAACCAGATAAATAATCATATGTACGGTTACAACCAATTAATTAGGCTGCGAGAGAAATTAAGAAACTTCTCACACTAATAAAATTTTGCAAGACCAATGCTTAAATACTACACAACAAAGACGTCAGACTTACTAGGCAAACAACCTCAATACTTGTGCTTTTCACCAAACTTCTTTAATGAGCAAAACTTTACCACCCACCCCCATCCCTTTATATCAAAAACTCTAGCAAAATGAAATAAAAACCATTTTTCCCACATAACTGTGTGCATAAAAAAGCGCACACAGAAATCTGTGTGAGGAGAAAATCCAGATCGCTTGCCTATAAACAGCCAATAAAGCATCAGGATAATCATGGGAATAATAAATGAAACATGACAAGATCTCATCGAAACAGCTATAAGACGATGTTTAGTCGCAAAACATGAAAACCAGAAGAATCTGAATAACAACACGAGAAAAGTATCCAAAAACGGCAACAAAATTTAATTTTTAGAAACAATATATCTTATAACATTAGTAAGCACTTTAATAATTTACATAAGGCAGTAGCATCAATAACAATAAGTTCGAAAGAAAACCTTTCATCATTTCAAGTTTTCCATTACCCCGTCATAAAACTTAAAAATCGATGAAGACTACCGACGTAGCGAGAAAACTTCCGACAATCTACAAAAATACCCTCTAAAAATTTTTAAATTACCCCTTCTGAAAAGCACAAGCCTTCGAGCTTCGCCATGCACAAACGGCCAAACTTATAAAACACAGTAAATAAATTCCCCGTAATGCTTGAAAAGACTACAGTTATAAAAAATGTAGAAAAAACGTCTTCTGGTGCAAAACAACAATTACTGCGTACTTTCGTTTTAAAGTTTGAACGCTCAAAGTGAGATAATCAGTCAAAAATGGCATGCTTAAAATTCACAACATCTTGCTAACTATAAAACATTAATTGAAAAAAAGGCGTGAGAAAAAACGATATTTCGACCTCTTTAAAAGAGTATGAGACCAACAAACATAAGAGCGAACAAATGACATTTGTTGCATAATATGACAGGTATTTAATAGACGAAGGAAAAGAGCGCAGCTCCTCTCCAATAAAAGCAAAAATTCTGACATGTGCAAAACGCACAATCAGAAAAGTAATTTAATACCAATAAATAAGACAGTTATCCTAACTAACTAGTTCCCCAGCAGTTGTTTTTCCGTTATCGTGACCTGACGACTTTTCTGCTGAATCCAACCTACAAATAACCACCTATACCCTCTTATGCCGTAACTCATTGAAAGGGGGAAACAAAAGCGAGCGATATATATCAGAAAAAAATTTATTTTTGACCAAGAACCAAACCTGAGACGTTTTGTCGAGCTGTTATCAATGCCGTCGCCATCGTCTTTCAATAACAATGGGATATTCATATCCAAAGAAACGTCTGCATCTGAAGGCCTTTTCCTACCTCTTCTGCTTTCACAATCACCTTTTTCTTTGACAGTCTGCAAGAACTTAATTTACCCTTAGCAACCTTCATAGCTGAAGAACTGAAAATAGAATCCTTTGACGGTTCTCAGGGTATTATTAAACTACCTTATCAACAATGAGATCAGATTCGACACTGACGCAACCCGGGGAAGGTTCATGGTCCCCCGACGTGCTACTGACGTCATCCTGATCGTCGCTCGGTGAAGAGGACTGGCCGCTTACTACAGAGGAATTATGGCCGAGCGAACTAGAGCTAGAGGGTCCCACTTCGTCCTCCTCATCACTGTCACTCTCATCGTAATCGACCAATGCCTAAAAAACCTCTGAAAAATAATAAAAGACAGAGAACGCTAAAACCGACATTCAAAAAAAAAAAAAAAA